ACATTCTTTAAAGGATAAAGTAAAAACTAACTAAACCTCTTCCTCCACCTTGCTTTGCTCTCAAACCTGCCCTGCCAAAACCTAAGAAAAAAGTGCTGCAAACAAATGGCTTATTAACATCTAAACCTAAAAGTTTGTTGTTAAACTTTTTATAGGAAATTTGATTGTCCACAATAAGCTGTACATTGGTGATTTATTTGATTCTGTAAATAATAAATGATCACATTTATTATTAGATCAAACAAGTCACTGAGTACGCTCATCTTATTATGTGTTTTGATCCATTCATTTTTGTACGGAAGAGATATCTACCGAAAATAAGAAGAACCTGTGAATTTCCTTGTAATTTTTATCATAAGAAGGTGTATGAATCACTACAACTGGATGGAAGGACCATGTAGTATCATGTGTTGCTCTTCTGATGCTGTATTCCTCTCATTTATGAAAAATGAAATAGAGTTTATGGCTATTGTTGATTCTTAATGCAAAATGTTAGATTTACAAAATGTAGACTTTACACCCCCCCCCCCAGTAAAATATTAATTACCAGGAGTTAATATAGATCATACAATTAATTGAAAACCTCATAACTTCTGTATTACCTCTTTTAGCCCATGGTACTTTTTAATGTTCTTGAGTCCCTTCTTCCTTAAATTCACTTGGGAGTCCTACATCCATCAGCTCTGCGTTCTTCTGCTGTGGTCACTCAGTTTGTTTGGATGACATGTTCTTGGTAGATTTACCTTCCACTTTTTGATCATGACTTCAACAGAACTCCTGAGAATATTTAGGACCTTGGAAATCCTTTTGGATCTATTTCCTGACTTGTATTTTTAATGACCTTGTGTCAGAGTTTAATTAGAAAAGTCTCTTTAAAGAGGGTGAATACTTATGCCAATGCCTATTTATATATGTATATATATTTTTATTATTTTTCGATACTTTATGTAAATGTAGTTTTACTTGCCTGTGAAGAAGGCCTTGTCCTTTTTTACTATGGCATAAATAAAATTCAGGCTCGTTGCACAAGTGTGCATACTCTGAAATAGATACTTTGTTGTACTGGTTTAATTCCAGCTTTAAGTGTTTTAGAAAGGATGCTATCAGCAGTCCACATCTTGATTTGGTGAAATTTGTCTACTTGTTCATGCTAAACTGTAAATTAGTCAAACTTTGAAGGCATCACTTGTGTCCACCCCTTTTTATTCACCATTTTATAAACAAATTTATGTCACTAAAGGAATTACTTTTTATGTAGCTTCCTAGCAGAAACATTAAGGTTTTAGCCCCAAATAAACAGGATTTAGGAACTTTTCATCCTTTTCAACTGAAACTGAGGTTTTAGTCAAGATGAAGATCTTGACTAAAACCTCAGTTTCAGTTGAGGAAAAACAACCCTTCAGCATGATGGTGCTAGCACTGTTTCACCATTAGTTTTTTGTTCATATTTAGTCTTGTTCCTGCACCAAACAGACATTTTAAAAATGTGGCCAAAATATACATTTTTGGTTATCAGACAGAACACATTTTCTGTTGGTCTTTGGGAGATGTAATTTATATTTATACAATAGCCTTGATGTTTTTTTTTCTTTTCCTTTTTTTTTTTGTTTAAGAAAAGGTTTTCCTGTCCCAGAGACAAAATACACAGGAGGAAGTTACATGTACACAACCAGTACTTGTCAGAAGCTCCTGCAGCTCCTTCAGTGTTGCTGTAGGCCTCATGGCTCCTCTTTGACCAGTTTATATCAGGATTTAAGCATTTTTTAAGGGATGAGCAGTTTGATGTCACTGTCATATTTTCTCCACTCTTGTTGAATGTCTTCAACAAATTTGTACCAGGTATTTGAAATTTAGTAGCTACTGGCAAAATGTTTTGTAATCTCCTCTTGACTGACAAATTTTAGCATCTTTTGGATGCTTTGTGAGCTCTCTGTGAATGTTGGATTTTACTGCAGACAGGAACTGACTTAATGTCAGGTTCATTCTTCCAGAAGAGCTACACTTTATTTCAATGTTCCTAAGAAGAAGAAAAAGTATGGAATTAAACCAAAAGATGCATCAGCAAACTATTAGTTAGTACACTCTTGTGCAAATAATTTCATTATTTTAATATGTAGAAACTTTTTCCTCACAGCTGATTTTGTTTCAGTTGAGTTGTGCAGGACAGACATATAGTTTTGAATTATTTACTTTGATTTTTCTTCACATCACAAAAATTTGGAACATGTGTGTGTAGACTTTTTATTTTCCGTATAATAGCAGTTAAACGGAGTATTAGGGCTACACAAGATTTTTTTTAAATTATGAGTATAAAGTCATAATATTATTAAAGTTGTATAAAAATAAAATCATAATATTATGAGAATAAAGATGTAATATTACAAGATTAAAGTCGTAATATTACGAGTTTAAAGTCTAAATATTAAGAAGTTAAAGTCATAATTCTGTGACATTTACAATGCAAAGCATGCAGTTACCACTGCATTAAAATGAGGAATGTTGAGCAACTTGTCGAGTTGTTCTTCAGTATTGCTTAAAATAAATAGTTAATTTTTTAGCACGTTAGCATCAAATTATCAGTAGCAGGACTTGGAAATTGTGCAAACGACTATAAACTGAAGCCGTATTGTAATTTATGGATGCATTGACAGATTTAGTCGCATAGATAATTTGGACGAAAACATATTAATCCAAGTGACCCAAGTCATCATGGACTACTTTATAAACACAGACACATGACTGTCCACAGCAGGTGTGAGGAAAATAACAAGGAATGGAAAATAGACATGTCATGATTATGACTTTATTCTCGTAATATTATGACTTTATTCTCGTAATATTATGACTTTATTCTCATAAATTACGACTTTAATCTCGTAATGTTACAACTTTAATCTCATAATATTATGACTTTATTCTCATAAATTACGACTTTAATCTCGTAATGTTACAACTTTAATCTCATAATATTATGACTTTATTCTCATAAATTACGACTTTAATCTTGTAATAATAATAATAATAATAATAATAATAATAATAATAATAATAAATCTTGTGTGGCCCTAATACTTTGTCATATAAACTAAACCTGCACAGATTAATCAGTTTTGTGTTGATTTAAGTAACTCTGCTGCACATTTTCACATCGGCCATGCTGAGGAGCTGAGTCAGGAACTGAGCAGCAGAGTCCTGTTTTCTGAACATCTCTAAGGAAACCAAGATCAGCTGGTTGATCCTGTTTACGTTAATCCTGTTTATACAGTTTTTCACTTGAGAATTTAATCAGTGTGGCTCTAGTCAGCAACCCAGTTCCATCCTCTACCCTGAGGCCTGATCACTTAACCCTTCACAGTTAGCAGTGCTGTGGTGCTAAAAGCTGTAAATGGTTTAAACTTCTGAAATTTTGTTTGGGGGAAAAAAACATTTTCATAGAAATTAAAATTAAAACCTTATTGTGATCTTCACAGGCAGCAATTTCAAACTTGTTTTCTTTGCTTTTAAAACGTGAGCATGAGTTAGATGCAGAATTTTAACTGAAACAAATGCTAATGCACAATAATAACCTGAAAGCTAAGCTTAAAATCACTGCTTGTCTTATTTGGGACATGTTTAATTTAATTTTCAGTTTAAACCATTCACTACTTTCTTCTTGCTTTTATATTTAATGTATTTTAAGCTGCCAGAAGCTCTAAAGCTGTCAGGCTCGCAACTTTAAAATGTTTTATGTATTTTTTATAAGAGTCGCTAAAATCTCATCCACAGACCAGTTAGAAACTAAAAACTAAAAAGAGATTCTTCAAAAAAGGAGCTAATTTGACTGTAAATCATCGAAGTAATTTTGACTTTATGTATATCATATTAATATTTACCAAACTATATGTTGTTTTATGATTGATCTCTGATTTGCACACGATCTCAACCTTTTCCTAATTTACTTGAAACAGGAACATTTGGTTTACTCCAAAATTTTATAAACACATTACACTTCATTTTAAGTTGTGGTTAATGGTGTAGATTATATAAGAATATTGCATCTTTTTAAGAATATAACAGCAATTTGCTTTTTTTAAGTTATTTTATTTTATATTTTACAGTTGCCATATGTATAGCCCACTTATAAACTGCAGACTATTAAAAATCGAACAGTATTTTGTTACAGTTTTACCTTGTTGAGATGAAAGGGAGGGATGTTGTGTAGAATTAAGTTTATTTCAGTCCTTTGTAAAAAAAATAAATATAGTTAAAAGATTTTAAAAGGTCAGTTTGATGGGTATTTAATCTTAAATTATTATAACTTCTCAACTTGAAATCTTTAAATTTGTGTCAGAGGCCGACTTTTTTGTGTTTATCTGACTTACAAGTTTTTTGTTTGTTTTTATTATTTCTTGACGTTAGCCTCGAAGTCACTTATTAACAAACTCTACTTTTGTTTTTGAGCTTCTGTTGAAAAAGTATTTTTCAAATTAAATTTTAAAATATAGGTCTTTATTTAGTTTTTGTTATATGTCACTTTGTTCTATTACATGTTTTATTCTTATTATTATTATTTACTTAAAAAACATGATTTGTATAAGGATTAAAATGACAGGTGGAATATGACTAGACCCTCTTTTCATTCAACTAAATTTTGAAGTTCAGGGGGCTTAGTGTTTTTTTTGTCCAGAGCCCCTTTGATGGGCCCTGCTGTAAGGTGCAAAGTTAAGTTTTGTTAAATTTTAAATAAGATAACTTTATAGAGTAACGATTCAAGCTTGTTTGGTGTGAGAATTAATCACATTTAAATGCACAGTTAAAATGTAAAAGGCGGAGGTGAAGTGATGTTTACAGGTGTTTGGGGGGGGGGGGACAGGTAAGCGCTCAGAGCTCAGCGTTGGAGGGCGGAGATGATCTGCCGGGAAGGGGAGGCTCCCGGCGGAGCTTCGAGCCAATCAGCTCCCGGAGACTGCTGTCACCGAGCCAGCTGACATTCAGGTCAGAGACCGAGCAACTCCAGGAGGGACTCCTCGTATCTGAAAGCGAGGAAAAGTTTTGACAGGCGGAACCTGCGGGCGGTTCTTTTTCCTCCTTTTTTCTGCCGACAGCAGCGACGGCTCAGAGGTCACTGCAGCCGGAGTGGCGCGTCTCTCTGCGGGTAGGAGGCTGTACGATCCTTGGCAGTGTTCTGAGACTGTACGGCCCCGAACCCCCGGCTTGCATCCACGGACTTAAACTCTGCTCATGGCATGATCCGTCACAGGACTCCTGATCTGATCTGATCTGATCTGCGCACTTTGATTTAAACAGGAACTTTTCTTCTCTCTGTTTGGAGGAAACGGACTTTTACAGACTCGTATTAAAGTTGGACTTAAATCCAGACTTGTCGGAGTTACGACCGAAATCATGACAGCAGATAAAGAGAAGAAGAGGTAAGACATGACATTAATGTTTAATTACTGGCCTCGAACTTTCAGGGGTCATTATAAACATGTATTCAGCAGGTGGGAGAAAAGCCAGGCAGGACCTGTTGCTGCAGAGCTGCATGTGACTTGGCCTGGATTTCTGCAGCTTAGTTGGTGGAGATGTGGTCAGCTTTATTGCGGTTTTAGTAATAAAGGTTGTTACTGTGGTGTTGCACATTCATGCAGTTATTTGGCTTTATTTCGAGGCCAAAGCAACTCTGGGTGCTTGTAATGTGGTCCATTCCTTACAGAAAAATAACTGAATTTTACCGGTGGAACGTGTAAAAGACAAGGGTTCATGTATCGTGTGAATTTGGAGCAAAAAGCAAAGCAAACAAACAAACCTTAATATGTTATTTACGTTTTATATATTAGAACAAAAAGGATGAATATTACATGTAAATCTTATAAATTGATTTCAAAAGACACATTTTGCAAGTTTTGAGTGAGTTAATATTAAAAACAATAAAAAAAATCCTATTTTATATTTCTGAAAATATGTTAAACTATTTGCAACAGATTTTTCATGCATGTTTTAAAACGTAGATTTTGGTTAAAAAAAACATGAATTTCCCATTTGGAAAAGTATTTTTTTTAAATATATATTTGCAACAATCTGGTGATGTGAAACACATCTCATGTTTCTCTTGTGATTTCGAAACATTGTCAATATGTTTGTGGCCACAACTTTCACAGCAAACACACGTTTTTTTCTTTTTTCTTTTTTTTCTGAGAGGAGACTAATTCATAATCATTACTCGGGTATTTACTTCATTAGTTTTCTGAATGTCTGAGCTGTGACATAATAATCATTCATCAAAAGCCCACACTTATTGACATGTTTAAACACTGGGGGTAATATGGTGGCTGTGATTAGTGAAAAATAAAATTGTATTTTCCTGCAGATTTACAGCAAGCCAATAAACCCTGTCTAATAAGATTTCTGTTAACAAATAATTCTGCAGACGCACTTGTAAGACTGATTGTACGTGGTTGACCTTTGACCTGATTGGAGCAGAAAGCAGGCTGACTGTGTGGGACAATTAGCACTCTGATTGCAGCAGATACCACCCCGCCTGCTCAGGAAATTTCCAGAACTTTAGGTAGTATCTCCTCCTGTCTGGTGCTTTCCTGTGCAGATTACATCTGTTTAATCACTGCCTGGATTTCTGTTGCTGCATATTTGACTGCATTGATATAATCAGGACGCCTTCATGTTATACAATGCGTCCTGAAACCAGTTTGTCGAACATGAGTGTCCTCTACTGGGAAAAAGTGTCCCTTGAGAACAGAAACGTTTCAGATTTAAACATTTGCACCAACGTGTTGTAGGCCTACAGATGCTGGTTGCTGGTTGAGGCCGCAGGGACTTTTTTTAACAATAGGAAAAACATCCCTGAACTCATTTAATCAGAAGGAGTTTTGTTCGGGATCTTTAAAAAGTATATGTTTATTTTTATTTTTTTAGATGCCGCTTAGAAAAGAAATAGATTTCAATCAGCTGTCTGATGCCACCCTGTCTGTCCGGTCCTGTGGCTCATTCATGGACCCAAACATGAGCAGATGTTTTGAAATCTTGGGCCTAAAATTAGTCAAAAACACTTTAAAGAATAAAAATGTTGACCAGATGGACTCCGTTCAGCCATTTTAGGGAAGGAGACCTCTGCAGCCCGGCTGTGTGTGTGTGTTAGTGTGTGAGAGTTCAGCACTTGTTGATGTGTGTTTGTCTTTGTGTTCCACAGTAGCTCATTGTTGCTGCTGCAGCCTGGAAGCCATAATTGCTCTGATCAGTTGTATGATTCATGACAGCTGCCTGGCAAGCATGGGCCGCTTTCAGTTAAGGTGTTTCAGATTGGTTATAATATCCCTGAGGTGAATGGCTGAACTCACTGGAGTGTCTTCTTTGTGATTGGACTTATCTGAGGTTTAAAGGCTCCATCACACGCAGTACGTATCAGAGGTTCAAAAAGTGAGCAGAATGCAAAATAAATGAATAAAATTAAGGGACTTTGCAACAAACATACTTATTATTTTTTCCTCACAATGGGCCTCATGCAAGAACATGTTYGTATTCTTATCCTAAATTTCTCTTACTTTTGTTCGTACAAAGGGTTCGTACGAACATGTCACGTCAGATTCAACAAAC